AGAGTAAATCTGGATAGAATTTAAATTAAAGACTAAGTGTCGGTTGAAAGCATTGTCTTACATTTATTAAACCTAAACGCTATTTGTGAACTGGCAGCACTATTTATTCATACCATTCATATGTTTTTTGACATTTCGTTTTATGCTTCTGTTTTATTTTGATACAATTTGCTTGCGAATGCCAAAATAGAAAGCAATTATGTCCTTCTCCAAAAAAAGGGTGGAGGAGATTTATTACTTCAGCAATTTCTTTCGCTTGTGTACGACAATGTATAAACGGGAAGTTAGCTTGGACGGGTACACAGGAAAATGTGCGCGTTTGTTGAAAAATTGAATAAAGCCCATAAAAACAAAATTTATAATGTAGTGCAAAGCATTTAAATATGAATAAGACTTAGTGCATTTATTTATAAAAAGCATTTATAAGAAAAAAAAATCAAAATAGCAAAGAAATCAAAAGATTTTTATATAGCTTTGTGAGACAAAAAAAAAATAAATAAATAAAACAACTATATACTGTGCCTCTTACCACAGCTCCGCCCTGAATGAAAAAATTATAGAGAAAAAAGATCAACAAAAATCCAATTAACGTCCTTGGAAAGAAAATGGGTAAGTAGCGAATAATAATAATAAAAAGCAATGTATGTGTACGAAAAAACAAAGGACAAACAAAAAAGCCCAAAAATATGTAGGAAAAATGTGCAGAACACGAAAGTTGCATTTTGCCGTGCTTTGCACTTTTTACTTTTTGGCAGTCAAGTGAAAACTGTCGTTGCCTTAGGCAATTCAAGCCGTTGCCGCTGCCGCTGTCGTTGCTGCTGCAGCATTCGTTCGTCGTGTTTGCCTTTTCCGTGATTTTTGTTCGTTTTGTAGTTTTGTAATGTTTGGCATCCTGTTTATTATAAAATCCTTTTGTGTCGTGGCTTCTTCCCAGATAATATTGAAATGCTGAAAGCACTTTATGACTTCCAAGCGGTCTATCCTAAGACCATCAGTTTTGATGAAGGCGAATATTTTATATTGTACCAGACGTCCGCACGCCAACGGAACTGGTGGCAAGTGGTCAGCATGAAGGGAAATATTGGTTTTGTGCCATCCAATTACGTAATGAAGATTAAGGTAAGTAAAGAAGTATAATATAATTAATATATATTATTTGAATATATTTCTAATTATTGTGAAACTTACTAAGGACTATGTGCGGGTCTAAAGTGGGGTTGAATTAAAGTACTTTTGGACTTAACATGGGAGGTTTTTATTGTCGGAGTTTTATTTTGCTAATTTAATTGTATCATGGCAACAACCCAATTTCTCTAATTGGAACAACGTTTAAATAGCAGAAGTGAATTATTTTTATTGGTTGGGTTTTTATATAATAAGAAATTGCATCAATATTTTAACCGGCACATATAATTTCATATGCAATAAAATGAAATTCTGGATCCAAGTGTTTTCTAGCGTTAAAGTATTTCCAATATACTTAAGTAGTAACCTTATAGAATTACTTAAATAATATTTTGTGTTAACAAGATTTTCTAAATAATGTAATTATTTTTCGAATTAAATACATAAAATAATTAATTAGATTGAAGGTCTGTTGTTATACAATTAGAGATACACATATTGTCCTCAAACACCTCTAATAAATTACCTGACTTCAATAATAAATTCATTAACAGAAATCGGCAAATTCATCCTTAAGTTGTTTTTGAACGAAAGCTGGTGTTCACACTGACACATTGTTTCGTTCAAAAATGAAACGAATGAAATTAATTTGTGTATATAACGCTAAAATGTAAAATCCACTTTGACGGTAGAAAGTTAGACAATAACCGTAATTTTTTCTTTCAGAGTAGCAAAAAATACTCGCAACTTATGAAAAAAAACATATGAAGTAAGAATTATGCTCTTAAAACTTTCAGAGTTAGGATTTACTTGCATCTTTATGATTGGTTTTCAATCTATTCACACGTATACATTTCGAACATTAACAATATGTTTGTTGGAAATTTAATGTACAACTCTTTATTTTTTATTTAAAACTTTTTTACCTATAAATGATAATTTATAATTTATAAAATCTCTTAATTAATTTAATTCATTGTAATAAAATATTTGCTATTCACACGGCATTAGATAATGTTTATTAACTGCTTATCTGGATTGCGCTGTTGCTGCTGTCTATGTGTTTATTGTTTTTGAACTAATTTCTGTAAGCCGATTTTAGTAAGAGTTTTTGTCCCTGTTCTTAAATACTATTTTGTTTTTATAAAATTCTGTTTCCTTATTTGAGATGTCTCTCAAATTGGTGATTACCGAATAAATCAGCAAATTGTCGCATGTATGCCGATTTTATCTTGATCCCAGAATCGAGATTACTTTTCGCCCTGTGAGAGTTATAAGTCATAAATAAATAATAAATTAATAATAATTCAGTATTCCTTTAATAGTGTCACTGAAGATGTTTCAACTATGCTTAAATATCTTTAAACTGTTCTAACTGATCTGTTAGATTAGTTTAAAAAGATTAGGTTATATCGGCGATTATAAAGATTCACTTAGTTCTATTGGCCCATTATGTTACTTCAAAAAGTTTAGTATTTGTGAGCTAGTATATTGCGTTAATCTTGCTTCATTGTTTTTATATTATTTGAACTTAAACATGATATTCCATTGATTGATTTAGTAAATAGTTTACATATCATCGATAGTTAAATATTAATATATGATAAATAGTTTCAATAAATTGATAATGGCTTCTTTATGTTGAATTCACTTCAACAATCGTTTATTTTTTTAGTTTCCCTCAATCGATTATCTATTATCTATAAATAGATTTAATATACGGGTTCATAAAAGTATGATCCGTATAAATCCATATATATCTTTCTATAAAATTTTTGTTTAAAAGGTCAACTGCTTGAAAATTGTGTCTGCAGTATATAATTTTCTATAAATCAAATATATTCGCTCCGTTTAGCGTATCGGAAAGTTTATTGACATGATTCGGTTAAAAACTTTAAACACGCAAAGATGTTATACTTGAGACCGACAACAGAAACCTATAAAAAGAAAATCCCCTGCAGTGCCGAATATAAAAACAAAACGGAAACTTCACCGACAATTGCCACAAAACTTTTGCTCTCTACACCAAGTGTACGTGACAATTAAATGATTAACACGAA